ATTTTGGGACATATTGTATTATTCTCTATGACAGAAGCCTCTAAACCTATTCCTGCAGCTATTCAGTCTCTCCTAGAAAGCTACAAGGATATTTTTGAGGAGCCAAGAGGCCTCCCACCAGTAAGAAACCATGACCATGGTATTTCCCTTAAACATGATTCAATTCCTGTCAATCTCAGGCCCTACAGATTTCCACACAACCAGAAGGCTGAGGTGGAAAGACAGATTTCTACTATGTTATCTTCTTCTATTATTCAGCCTAGTAAAAGTCCATTTGCTTCTCCATGCCTCCTAATTAAGAAGAAAGATGGCTCTTGGAGGTTCTGTGTGGATTACAGGCAACTAAACAGCATGACTATTAAGGATAAATTTCCTATTCCTGTTGTGGAGGACTTATTAGATGAATTACATGGTGCTGTTTATTTTTCAAAGATTGACCTCAGATCAGGGTATTGGCAAATCAGAATTAAGGATGCAGATATTCACAAAACTGCATTCAGAACTCATCAAGGCCACTATGAATTTAAGATGATGCCTTTTGGCCTTACTAATGCCCCAGCTACTTTTCAGGCATTAATGAATGAAATATTTAGTTCATTCCTTAGAAAATTTGTGTTGGTGTTTTTTGATGACATCTTAGTTTACAGCAGTTCTATGGCAGCTCATATTGCTCATTTACAACAAGTTTTAGAGGTGTTACAAGCTAATCAATTGTTTGCAAAGTTCTCTAAATGTTTTTTTGGACAAACCCAAGTAGAATACTTGGGACATATTATTTCAGCAGCAGGGGTTGCTACTGATCCCAGTAAGGTGGAAGCAATGAATAATTGGCCTCTCCCTAAATCTTTGAAGTCTTTGAGGGGATTTTTGGGATTAACATGCTATTATAGAAGATTTATTAAAGATTATGGTGCTATAAGCAGGCCACTGACACAAATGCTTAAAGCATACAATTTTAAGTGGACTACTGCAGCTTTGACTGATTTTGAAAATCTTAAAAGAGCCATGTCCACTGCTCCTGTTTTGGCTCTTCCAGATTTTACTCAGAATTTTTACTTAGAGACAGATGCAAGCTCAGGAGGTATAGGTGATGTTTTATCTCAAAATGGCAGACCTATAGCATTTTTGAGTAAGGCCCTTAGTCCTAGAAATGCTACTCTCTCTATTTATGAAAAAGAATATTTTAGTTATTCTATTAGCAATATCTAAATGGAGACATTACTTAGAGGGTAATCCTTTTATCATTAAGACTGACCATGAACCTCTAAAGTATCTTTTGGAGCAGAAGTTTACCACTACAATTCAAAAGAGAGGATTGACCAAGCTTTTGGGGTTGGATTATACTATACAGTACAGAAAAGGGAAATCAAATGTGGTGGCCGATGCATTATCTAGACAATGGGAGGATCAGGGACAGTGTTTGGCCATGGGCACAACTCTAATTATTCCAAGTTGGGTGCAGGAGGTGGAGGCTAGTTATAAAGAAGATTGGCTACTGAGTGGATCACTAATTGGTTGTTCATTCTACTGCTGATAATAAGTGGAGATATTCAAAGGGAATCCTTTATATAAGGATAGAGTTTTATTGGGAGGTTGGATCTCTTAGACTACAAATTCTTCAGACATTACATGACTCACCTCATGGGGGTCATTCTGGAAGTCAAGCAACTTATCAGAGAATTAAATCTTACTTCTATTGGCATAGACTTAAAGCTATGGTGGTCAATTATGTTAAAATTTGTGCCGTCTGCCAACAAACTAAGGTGGAATATGTTGCTAAACCAGGACTGCTACATCCATTACCTATTCCTCAACAAGCTTGGGAAGTTATCACTATGGATTTTGTTGAAGGCTTGCCTACATCTTTAAGGAAGAATTGTATTCTTGTGGTGGTTGACAAGTTTACTAAATATAGTCACTTTTTAGCTCTATCACACCCTTACTCAGCAGCTGAGGTGGCTAAATTGTATTTGGACCACATATATAAGCTTCATGGCCAGCCTAAAATGGCCATTTCAGACAGAGACAAGACCTTCACCAGCTTCTTTTGGAGAGAACTAATGAAGCTCTTAGGGACTAAGACCCTCTTTAGCACTGTTTATCATCCTAAAACGGATGGACAAACAGAAAGGGTAAATCAGTGCTTAGAACAGTACCTCCGAGGGCTTTGTTTTTACCAACCAAAGCAATGGGCTAAATGGTTGCCACATGCTGAGTGATGGTACAATTCTACCTACCATACTTCCTTAAAACTAACACCTTTTCAGGCTCTATATGGCTACAAGCCCCCTACCATGGTTTGGTATACAAACACTCAAGTACATGCAGTGGCAGAGTTAATGAGAAGCAGGGAAGACATTCGATAATTGGTGAAAATTCAATTACAGCAAGCAAGTAATAGAATGAAACAGAAAGATGATAAAAATAGATCAGAAAGAGTATTTCAGATTGGGGATTTCGTTTACCTGAAACTGCAGCCGTATCGACAGACTTCTATCGCCCTGAGGAAAATTTTGAAATTAGCAGCAAGGTTTTATGGCTCTTACAAGATTATTGAAAAAATTGGGGAAGTAGCCTACAAACTTGACTTACCAGATTCTTCGCGGTTGCACCCAGTCTTTCATGTCAGTTTATTGAAGAAGCATGTTGGGCCTGATGCAGCAACTTCCACAGATCCTCCTACGATTGATGATGAGGGTCAGTTTTGGATAGAACCCAACAAAATATTAGGCAGAAGAATTGTTAATCGACACAATAAACCGATTACATAGTTGTTGGTTCGGTGGACTAACCTGGACGAGATGCACGACACTTGGGAAGACTATTCAGTGTTGCGATGGCAGTTTCCGTCGTTTGATCCTTGGGGACAAGGATCATCTGATGGGGTGGGTATTGTCACGGTGGGAGAGGGAAGACGAGAAGGAGAAGAATGAGGACGAGAGATGAGTATCGAAGGAGAATTGGGGGAAATGAATAATCAAGGGTTAGGGATTGAGATAGAATTGGGAAGTAATTACCTGAGAGTAGGGCACGTGAGGAGCACGGGGGGAATTAAAGTAATTACCCAGCAGATTCAGCAGACTGGTCCAGCAGATACAGGTGGAGCAAAGGAAGCCCAGCAGTAGCCCAATTCCTGTTATGATAACAGAATTGGTTAGAGAGAAGTCCAGCTGGCATAACAGAATCTATTATGATTGTATGTAAATAAAGGCAATGTAAACAGAAAGAGGGTTAGGAAATGAATGAATGAGAACGTTTTCTGTAATCTTGTCTTTCAGCTTCTAAAAACCCCATTCCTTCGATTATTTCTTCTTTTTTTACCCCATTCATAACAAAAATTCAATGGAGGAATCAAGAAATGGCTTCTCTTTTTTGTTGATTGTGAGAAATGGGTACTTATTGGTGTTTTATCTTGATATTGCAGATTCTGGGGATTTGGGTTTTTTTCCCATAGTTGTCCAAGAAATTAAACCTTTTTGCTTTCTCGTATGGTGTAGAAATACGTCGATTGAGCTGAGAAGTTAATCAGTTCACATAAGGGAAGTTTGGGGTGAGAATTTGGCTTCTAAAATCGATTTAATTCGAGACATAAAGCTTACCGGTTCATTGCCATGGAGACCGAGTTCTCGGGCATTGTTTTTTGTCCAATAGGCAATTTAAGAGTAGTTTTGGTGGAAAGCAGATGTTGATCTTCTGAAATTGATTCGGTTGGGTCTTACTTTCTCTGATGCCAAAGGGGATTGTGCCTACTTGTGGAACTGATAAATTCATCGTTTGGCAAGTCGGTTTCCGATCCCAACGATGATGCTTACGCTAATGATTCCATTGAAGCTTTTGTCTCGGAGTGGCGTTGATTTTCAGAAGAACAAAGAAAAGGGTGTTAGTGCTCATGACTTGAGTGAACTGTTAAGGTCATCTGGCATTGTTTTGAGTTATAATGTGCATTGGGTGACTTTTCAAGGCAATTTAGACTAGCGAGGATCTTCCTGCTACATAATCAGACTTCTTTACTAAGATCAACAATTACTTTCCAACTCTACATCATATCAGGTTTGCAATCTTCATGATGGGTTGGACCAGTGGCGGATCTAAAGGTGTTTTGAGGGAGGTCACATATATTAACAATAATTTTTTTTTATGAAGTTGACACAAATAAAATTTTAATATGGACACAATCTATAAAGTAGATAATTACCTGAAGAAATTCAAATTTAAAGATGAGTACGTGTCCATCCTCACTTGAGCATAGATCTGCCACTGGTTGGACTAGCTCGCAAAGATGTTTAGAAGTGGAGAGAATTGGTACCCGACACCAAGCTTATTCAGATTGTTTGCTTACCATTCATGCCGGTGCGTTACATGGGATTGACGTTGATAGTTTGTTTGTTAACTAACACTTTCTATTTATAAAAGGAGATTATTATTTTTTTTTCAAAATAAAGAGTTGGAGTTGAAGCATTTGATTAAAGTGATTATTCAGTCGAGCATTAAGAATATTTTTTTAGTATTATGCCTTTAAAAATTTAGGGTAAAATTCGGTCACATATGTTGCGATTTTGTTCACCTTTTATCGTTGATTTTAAAAAATTATATTTTAATCATTTACGTTATTAATTTATTACATTATTTATTAAATTGTTAATTTTCATGAATTTAATAACAAAAATTTGATACGACAAGATAAATATTTAAATAAAATGCATAAATCTCCATGTAAAGTACACTTATATACAAAATTATTAACATATATATATGTGTGTGTTTTTCTTTTAAAATGTTAATATATATGTAAAATACAAGTATTTATAAATCTTAATATTCGAATCCATGATGTAAAAAAATAATAATTCATCTACTATTAAAATTGTTTAATTCATGCTGATAATTTAATAATTAAAATATAATAAGTCAATAATATAAATAAAAAGCTCACAAAAAATCCTGATTACTATTTGTTTCTTCACCCGTACTCTGAAACTAATAAGAATGTGTAAACAATAGATCACAGAAAATCAAAACCCTTTCCCCTAACTATCTCTCCCTTTCGTTCCCTTTGCGTTTCCCGTCTCGCCCTTCTCCTCTTCTTTCTTGTTCTTTCTTCTTTCAAGGAATTCCAATGGAAGATGACGATGAGTTCGGAGATCTTTACACTGACGTTCTCATGCCTTTCTCTTCATCCGCTGCTCCCCCACCGTCTCACTCTCCTACCACTCCCCATCTCCACCGTCCGATTGATTCCAATCTTCCATCCCAAGATGGAGCCAATACCTTCCTCGGAGCACCAGTTTCAATCCCCGATTCTCAAACCCTAGTGCCCATTAAGTTTCATCCTCCCGCTGCGCCAGCAGCATCTCTGTGTTCGATCCCTAACCGTGATGATTCAGCTCCCGAACCGATGGTTTTGGATTCTAAACAAGAACCTGCTGATGGAAATGATGTTGTGTTTGATATTGAAGAGGGGAGTAGTAACGCGATTGATGGTTCCGGCTCGGATGACCCGATAATTCCGGGTTTAACCGAATCGGTTCGCCAGGGAGATTCGGGGAGGAATGATGATGGCAAAGATAATGGAATTGAAGGCGGCGGTCAAGTGGAAGCCGGAGGGGAAGGAGAAGGGGATGATTGGGATAGTGACAGTGAAGATGATCTACAGATAGTGTTGAATGACAACAACCACGGACCTATGGCTATGGAGAGAGGAGGAATGATGGGGGAAGATGAAGACGATGATGAAGATGGGGATCCGCTTGTGATAGTGACCGATGGAGATGCAAACCAAGGGATAGAGGAACAGGATTGGGGTGAAGGAGGAGGGCAGGCGGCGGATGGAGAAGGGAAAGAAGGGGGAGAAGTAGGGCAGGTTGGCACTGCTGGCAGCAGCGGAGGGAGCGTGGTTGCGACAAAAATTGGGTACAGCAACCATGGGTTCCATCCATTTCATTCTCAGTTTAAGGTTAGTGTGTTATCATGTTGATTCCGTTGTTGTTGAACTAAGCAATATGGAAATGTTTAGACAAAAGTTGGGGGTTTTTGTTTGTCTTATACCCCGATCTTTTGATAAATGTTTAGGAATTTACTTTGGTAATTGATTTGCAAACTCTGTACTGAACGCAATGATAAATAAAAGTATTTTTTTAAAAGAAAAATTGTGGCCGAGTGGAAATTATATTTTGATTTTTCTGCTTTGACTTTATGTTTAAATATTGAAGATCATAAGTTGCAGTCAGAAATCACTATGTTTATCCTTGAAATAAACCCTCAAGACTTTTGGCGAGCCTATGACTAAGGGTTGTGGTAGGCTCGGAAGTACATTTATCAATATTAGCTTGAATATTGCTTGGCTCCAAATCCCACTTGTTTCAAGAATCAAACTTTCCTCAGAATTGTTGACTAATGCAACATTAATTGTAAGAAAGAGTGATTTGATTCAGCAATCCCCGATCCTAAACTTGAATCGACAACTTAAAAGAAAAATGGTTTCGTCATAAGTTTTGCTTTTTGAATGTTCTGGGGCACATTAGTAATGGTTTCAATAAGAAAACCTTTGCAGATGTGGTACAAGATTACAGCTACAGTTAATGCATTTGTAGGCATAATATGTGAAGATATATCTGTTGATATTTTATGTGTCCCATACACCAATAATTATTGGTAATATCTGTTGAAAATGAACAAGTATGTTCAGAACTATTTGTTATTTTTTGTCAAGTAATTTTTGCTCAAAAGGAAATCTGGACTTTTGTGCGAAGAAAAGGTGTAAACAACCTATTGGTAAAAGAGATGTAACTATAGAAACACTGTAGTTAATGGTGCGATTTTTCTATTTCTTGAAACGTAAGCAAGATCAACTGTGAACCTTTGATGAAAGCTCATGCTTTTTCCTAACCATTTTCAGATAGCAGTTAATTGGTTTACTTAACCTTTTGTCATTGGTCATAGAGGTTGAGTTATTTCCGGATTGAGATTCTTATTGTATAGTGGACATTTTGGTTGCACTTGTATGTGTCCTTGTTTTATGATTTGTATATTGTCTTTGTCCTTGCTAGAAAGCGATTTTGATTTAGCACTCTTTTATTAAAATTGACATTTGGTTATATGATGCTATTGTTGGCCTTAGTCTTGATCATGTTATCACATGGAAAGTTTATTGCATCTATGTCAAGGTTCTGATCATATGTTGTATATTGTAATTTTTATAGCTGAACGAAAAAAAAGCGTCATTGTTGAACAAACATCCCATTCCTTTTTTACGAGGTTATGCTGTTTTTTTAACATTGGTTTCTGATAAATGACATGATCTATTGTCTGCTTCATGTAGTATGTAAGACCTGGTGCAGCACCAATGCCTGGAGCCACTGCAGGTGCTCCAGCGCAGGTTCGTCCAGTCATGGGTGCTATGGTTGGTCGGGGTAGAGGTGATTGGAGACCACCTGGACTGAAAACTGGTCTTCCCATGCAAAAAGGTCTCCATCCTAGTTTTGGAATGCCTGGTTGGGGTAACAATGTGGGGCGAGGTTTTGGTGGTGGATTGGATTTCACGCTTCCTTCACACAAGTAATTGCCCACTTTTCTATAATTATGTAATTGTTTATCATTAGTTGATAGTTTGACTTTTGTGCATGGTATACTAAATTCATTTAATTTTCGCTCATAGCAGCTGAATATGGAGACAAATTGCTTATTGCAAGATGACTTTGGCTTCTGTCATAATTTGTTGTGTTTCATTTTTCAAATATCATGTGCAAACACTTAATTTCTTTGTTTTTTTGCCTGACTAATTTTAATTTATCCCTATGTGAATCCAGGACGATATTTGAAGTAGACATTGATAGTTTTGAGGAAAAGCCGTGGAAATATCCCGGTGTTGATCTTTCGGATTTCTTCAACTTTGGTCTGAATGAGGAGAGCTGGAAAGATTATTGCAAACAACTGGTAATTATTAACTTAATTGATTCCTTATTTCATTCTTGTGTGAACTAAGATCTTGGAAGGTTGAATGTGAAAAATCTTGTAGGAACAACGTCGCTTGGAGACAACAATGCGAAGCAAAATTCGCGTTTATGAAAGTGGGCGAACAGAGCAGGTAATTAGGTGCTTTCTTATGCATATCTGAAACAATGTTTCCCTTCAAATGAATCTTGAATGGTTAAGTGTTTGTATTGATGCCATGTTTTCTGCTGTTCTGCAATTGCTATTAAGGATATAAAATAATTGTTATGGTTTCTTCTAGGACTATGATCCAGATTTGCCTCCAGAATTGGCAGCAGCAACTGGGCAAGAGATTCCCGCTGATGCCGCTAATTTTGCAAAGTCAAATGGTGGACAAAATGATTTGACAAAAGGAACTGCTCGCATGCGACCTCCTCTAGTAAGCTTCAGTTACTGGATTTATGGTACATGCATTATAATTATAAAAGTCATATTTTAGATGTAGATTCTTCAACCATACTTCAATTTTCTCTATAAATACTTATCTCGTACTCGGTGGCGGATGTAGAAATATTTTTGAGGGTGGTAACACATATATTAATAACACAAAATTTTTGTATGTGGGTGTGCACAATAATATCTCAGGGTGGGCACGATCAGTAAAATGAATAACTAACCGAAGGAAATTCAAATTCTAGTGCTCACCCTAATTAACATGTAAATCTTCCAGTGCTTGTACTCTTGGCTCTTATGATATGTGCCTGTAGCTTCTCTTCCGTTGTTGTGCATTGTAACTATCTTACTTAGAGTGCGATGAACTATTCCATGTATTATCTGTTTAATAACTTACTTTTTTTTTACTTATTGTACCAGCCAACTGGGAGAGCAATACAGGTTGAGGGAGGTTCTGGGGAACGTCTCCCCTCCATTGATACTCGACCACCTCGCATGCGTGATTCAGATGCAATTATTGAGGTTACCAGTGAAACCTTGTTACAATTGCACTTAGCCCAAGTCTTATTTAGTATCTATCTTCTGCCTATGCAAATTGTTTTAACTCTTATTTGTGTAAACAGATTGTTTGTCAGGATACTCTAGACGATGATTCCTACACAGGCAATGCTGTTGAGGACCGAACAGAAAATGATCTGCCAAGGGAGGATATTAGGGGAGATCTTGCATCTGAAACCAATATTGCGCATGAAGAAACTGAATATGTTAATGGTTTTCCAAATGCTTATAGTAGTCGAAAGAGGAAGCCTGTTCGGAGTAGTGTGCCTGAAGATGATGGGATTTTGCCCATCTCTGCAGAAGCATCGCTTCCTTATGGTTCTGGATCTAGGAGTCACAGTCCTATGTATCATAATGGGAACTTTGGCAGCCCTAGTGATGAGAGGTATTAATCTTCAATTAATCTACTTTCATTTCTTTTTGCTTAGTAGTATCATCTCATACCATCTATGTTCTGTGATTCTACGATGCTATATGTAGCATGGTGAAGCATTGGCAGCCCTACATTTGATTGCTTCTGGTTTTTTTCTAACTTCTAATTTGTTTACTTCTCTATTTACATCTTTCATGTGGAAAAATATAACAAGATGTAGTTGGGATAAACTGATAATTCTTTATAGTGAAATGGATGCATTAATTGCTATGTTAATTGTTAAATACTACTAAACCTGCTTTTGTGTGCCCTGAGAAGCTATGAATGAACTTGATGGATGTTGAGAGTCGGAAAAAATGATGGTGTGGTAGCTATTTATCTGAAGTGAAAAAAATATGGATCAAGATGGCCATATTGAAAACTAATGGAGTTGGTTGTAGTTCCTTATTATCATTGAGCGATAAAAATTGCCCTATGGTACTTGTATGTTCAGGTAATTAATAGACATACTTACACCTTTTGACTTATTTTTAGCGGTGGCAGTTTGTTTTCTTTAAGCAGATTTGTAACTTTCTAGAATGTTGTGCTGTCATGGGAATAAATTCACGTTGCTGTTATCATTAACACTTTTTTGTTTGCTGATGAGTTGATTAAATAGATGAATTCCATGCTTTCATAATCCATTTCATTCTTTGGAAGTGAGAGAAAACCCAGTGTAAAAGGCTGCTTGTAATTTTGAGCTAGGATTTCTTCATTGTCTTTGATTACTTTTATGGTTTTCATTAGCTTGAAGTTTTAGTTTGTTATTTAGGTGGTAATACTACAAATGCATGATTAAGTGCCACTGACCCTCTTCTTCATGCAGGCATAGACAGGGAAGGGCACGCAAGAGATCCCCTCACACGACACCTATTAGAGGTAAACAGGATAAGTTCAGTGATACCTATTCTGGTGAGGAAGAATCTGTTGACAGCATGGATCACAAATCTCCTCTCCTGGTTAGAGATGCCAGGGAGATAAGTGTGGAGCGCAAGGGTGATGTTGATGATGAGCTTGAGTTGGCCGATAGAAGCCCTGATAGAGGAAAAGATGTGCTAATAAATGACACCCATAATGATGAGAATCCACTTAATGAAAAAATAAGTGCTCAAGTACATCAACGGGAGCTTCAAGAATGTGAATGTGGTGAGGATTCTATGGCTGCAAGAATTAGTGAAAACAGTGAAGCAAGATCTGGCAGCTGTAGAGATTATCAGAAGATGCGAGACGGTGCCGATGATGAAGTTGTTCAAGGTGTGCGTTCTTCTCGAACTTCAATTGCCAAAAAGCGTCTTGATGAACATGATCAGAATTTACTGCGTAAAGATTCTGATGCAAGACGTGAGATTGAAAGAAGCCAAATTGTAGGGAAATCAAGAGAAGGTTCTTATCCTCTTAGAGACTTCGATGCTGGCTCATCACATGATTTGCACATCAAAATGGAGGGTTTTGATAGGCGAAGGGAGAGTGATATTCTTGATGTTGCTCGGCAACAGAGAGAATATGATTTTCATGGAAGAAAAGGTAGAACTGAGGACTCAAGGAAGAGAGAGCGTGACAATGAAATGGGTTCTAGGAACAGGGCTAAGGTTCGTGAAAGTGAGAGGAGTGACAAAGAAGATTATCATCAACCTTCTAGAAAACAGTTGGATAATGGCATTTATAAAGCTCATCTTGGTAAGGATGACAGCGCTAGATATAGGGAAAGAGATGATAGTGAGAAGAGTAGATATGAAACAGCAGATGATTATGACAGCAAAAGAAGGAAAGATGAGGAGTATCTGAGGAGGGATAATGCAGACAAAGAGGTGATCTTGCATGGCAACAGAGAATCCAGCAGCAGTCGCAGAAAGCGAGAAAGGGATGAAATTTTAGACCCACGTAAGAGAGCTGAGCAACAAAGAATTCGAGACAATTTTGATCATCAATCCGCTCGGGACAAAGATGAGGTTTGGTTGCACAGAGAGAGGGTTGAGAAGCAGCGGGAGAGAGATGAATTGCATAGACCAAAGCAATCCCATGACGAAAGTTTATCAAAACGGGAGAGAGAAGAAGGACGAAGTACTGCAAGGATTGGACGTAGTTCAGAAGACAAAGCATGGATTGGCCACTCTAGGACAAAGGATGAACATAAAGTTTCTGAAAAGGAATACCAACTCAAAGAGACAATACGCCACTGTGAACAGGTGAAAAGAAGGGATCAGAATGGTGATGAAAGTTTCTCACGCCATAGAGGGCGCGAAGGTTCGTATGCACGGGGACACCAATTTAGCAATGATGACAGAAAATCCAGGCAGGAAAGGACAAGCACCCGGAGTGAGCATGCTGTCGATGCTTCGGATAGCCAAAGGGGCCATGAGAAGAAACATAAAGAAAATACTAGGAAGAATAGAGAATCTGAAGGTGAAGATCCAATCAGTTTGGGTTCTGCTAAGAGAAATCAAGAAGATTTAAGTGGTCACTACGATGAAACGGTATGTTTCGTAGACTCTAGGACATAATGTTTCTTTAGTTATAAGGAGAAAAATAACACAGCAATTTTCTTGAGAGCCATACATATGCTTTACTTATATAAAGTAATCTTCTATTGACGTTGATGCAGTTCCTTCAAAACTAGAGATTCTGGTTTTAATCACTTGACCGCGTTGTCTTTAAAAATCATTCAATAAATACACACATGCACACATATCTCTGTTTACAGTTTGGAGAACTGTGTTTTTTACCTGCATAAGTTTCGTGGCCCTGACATTTTACCTTTAGATCGAGAGTAATTTTAAACCACTCAATTCATGAATCTTTTTACCAGGAATATGATTTGTCGTTAAGGTAGGTACCATTTATGGAGCAGTGTCCCCCTTCCCCCTTTTCAAATTGTGGAATTTTTTCCTTTCTATATTGCCCCAACAAGAACACCCCATTCCGTCCGAATTTCTCTGATCATGCAATCGGGGTAGCAGTTTCAGCAAGCAACGTGTATAATTTGCTGCTATTTACAAAGCTTGTTGCACCTTGGACGTTAATTTTTCTTCTCATTGATTATCAACTTTTCTTTAGCATGGTATTTTGCTGTCCTCATCTTTGATGTTGAAGCTTGCAAATTGACTTCTGTGGTCCTGCTGTTTGGCTATGAATATAATATTGTATTTTTTTGCATGAAGACTTTGTTTGGATTGAGGGAAGGGGGATTCCTCGGTAAATCTTCTTTAACTTTGTAAACTAAGTTACTCTTATTTTAACATGTAAAGGTTTCATTTTGGAAAGAAAACGATAAGCTTAATTTCAGGTAACATGATCTAGATTGAACATGAAGCAAAGTTGGATTTGAACTTAACACCTATGATTAGTACTTTGGTTTTTAGATTTCTCATATGCATCATAAATTGCTATTTCTTAAGTTACTATGGCTTCCTTCCTTGATTAAATGATGGAATCGTCATGCTGCTTTGACTCATCTATTGACATTGTTCTTATATTATAACCAGTATAATTGTTTTTTGTCTTTATTACTGTTACCTTTTTGCCTTGGTTAGGGCTTGAAAAGTGATGAGAAGAATGAGGATCCAGTTCATTATAACCCTTCCAGAAAACATAGAGAAGATGCTTATTCGGATGATGAGCAGAAAGAGTCAAAACGGGGGCGCTCCAAAGTGGAACGTTGGACAAGCCATAAGGAGAGGGATTACATTATCAACAGCAAGTCATCGGCTTCCTCAAAGATCAAGCAGATCGAGAAGATCAATAATGTGGAAGCTTCAGATTCTAACAAAACTCCAGATGAACCTGGTACGTCAATTGAGCCTTCCGAGAACCATCACTCTTTGTCTGACAATAAAAATATTGGTGAGCCAGAGACCAAGGATGTTGATGCAAGGCCATCAGATGATCGGCATCTTGACACTGTTGAGAAGCTGAAGAAGCGAAGCGAGAGGTTCAAACTTCCAATGCCCAAGGAAAAAGATGCCGTGGCGATAAAGAAGATGGAGAGCGAGCCACTGCCTTCAGCCAAGAAGGAAACTCCTGCAGAGTCTGAGGTGAAACCTGAGAGGCCAGCCCGAAAACGAAGGTGGATCAGCAAGTAATCCCACAGTTTGCTGCATTACAAGGTCTTAAATTGTAAGACCCCAAAGGTCGTGCCATAAGGGTTCCCAGGATGGACATGTACCATTATAACGTTGGTATCGCAAATGACATCGTAACAGTGCCACCACCATGTACTTTTTATTTCTTCTCTCGATACTGTGTATATACTTAGAGAATGTAACATTGAACCTGTCATAAATAGTTGGCACATATTGACTCAGATGTATTGCTCAGATTTGGTGACACTGTCCTTTCGAGCCTGTGTAGAAGTTAAGGGCATCAGAGCAGGAACTTGTTTTCTTGCCTTACAGCTTTCACTTCTTTGTGCTAACCATCAAGGTAGATGGTCTTGCCTTTGCTGGAAAAAAAAGGTGGCATCTATGCCCACCATGGATATTTGGAGAAAGCGATTGTAGATGGTAAATTTTAAATTTATGATTTATTGGATTTAATTATCGTTACCAATGGAAAAGGTGTTGAAAGTTTAAACCTCTTGTTCCGCTTCTCAATTTTATTAGTTTAGTTATTTTAGTTTGAATCAATTGAGTGATCTCAATAATAGAAAATGAGAGGTCTTGAATTTAAGCAATTGCTTCTATAAGGTGTGTACGTGTTATTAATAACAAAAGATTTTGAATAGACATTACTTTATAATTATATTTCAGATTATTCAAAAAAATCATTTCTTTTTATTATCAAATTTTTATTTTTTGCATTTGAGAATTAAAATTAGAAAATTAAAAGTTTGAGGGACAAAATGAGCATAAGAAAATTGATAAAATATCATTGATTGGATATAGTTATGGTTGTATGCAGCTATACAGATGTGACATGTTTGTCAACCATCACAATTTTTGGATCTTGTTCAATTGAGTTTAACCGGAATCAATATAAATATACCAATTTCGGCCAAATATTTATATATGAGTATTGATTTTGTATAACTGTACCCATGAAATTTTAATTTTGACTTAATTATGGTAAAAAAAACTTTAATTTAGTTATATATACTTTAAAAAGTAAATAATCTATTTATTTTTTTATTAAATAAATATAATTATTTGCATATATAATATATAAACATAAAATCATACTAGATCAATAACGGCTTTAACAATTTATAAAAATTAGATTAAATTTTTTATATATAATATCAAAATCCATATATAATTTAAATATTTCAATCGGTGTTACATATGCGTATTGATGAGGTTTAAAGTGAATTTGTTAATCACCCACAATATTATGACGGTATATGGCGTATTGTATTGTCCAAGGACAAGAATTGTGGGTAGATCAGGATTATATTGAATACAAGTAAGATTTATGATCGAGTTGATTGATATTTCATAGCTCGAATTTTTAGATGAACTCAACGTCTTACTATGTAATTTTAAATGGTCGGATGGAAGAGGTCGTCGTCTCCGATAAGGGGATGCATGGAGCCCTTATTCGTTCCTGATATCTTCAGCAGGGAAGAATGTAGTCCAACAAAGGGGCCATGTAAAAAAATTGTTTGAATTCTGTATCCATTTGCTACCAGAATTTTGTGGTTGAAATTATAATTTAATGAAAAAGGACAAGAAATCGGAAGCCATAATTACTGCTAGGCAAAGACAAAAGTTGGCAGTAATTGCCATGCCACTCGAGGAACCCTGTGAAGCTGATATGACTGCCGGTAGTGGAGGGTCAACAACATCAGCAACCTCAAGCGACGGGTTTGGAGGATTCGCTGGTGCCGATGCCCTGGAAGCAGCTTGCTTTAGCAGTGCACCTGGTTCAGCTGCTAACACTGCAATTTCCCCTTTGAGATCCACGCATGGGCTCCCTGAACAGCATCAAACCAAGTTTTATAGTAAAATAGTCACTTCAATCTTATATGACAAGTTGAATGAAAGTAACGGTCAATGCTTATATCACAAGTCTAAAATATTAACGTCATAAGTCACATGTGTCCAAAATAATATTTGAATAGTTATTTTAGTCTCTTTTCGTTATTTTTTTAAACATCTTGACCCTCAATATTTTATTTTAAGCTAAAAATGTCTTTGATGTTTAACAAATAGTCACTTTAACCTATATTTTTTTTAGAGCATTGGAGCCCCTATATTTCATTTTATAACAAAAGACCCTTATTTAGACAACCTTTTTATTATAAAATGAAATATTATGGTCTAAAGTACTCCAAAATAAATAAAGATTAAAATAACTAATTAAATATTAGGGGTATTTTCTGTCATTATGCCTTAACTTTTTTTTCTTTTTAATTAATTACGCCTTTTTTTAGGAATTATTAATTATGCTTTAACTTCACTAGTAGAAGCACTAACTCATATATATCTGCTGGCTGTTCCAGGGAACTCTGTGATGACCCCATCAACTTCCAGTGCTGCAACATAAGTAGCAAGCTCCCTCGTTGGATCTGCAAAGAAATCAAAAGGAAGTGCTACAAATTCGTTTCTCAAAACATAGACATAAACTGAGATCTTTGAAGCATGCACTTCGTCGATAACTTTTGTTCGCGCCACGGTAAAGCCATTTTCGATCGAAATCAGAGAAGCTCTCGCGACAACAAGTCCATCAGCTAACTTCTTGATTTCATTTACAGTCGATTCCGGAACATCGCCTATCGGTTTCGTGATATGTAACAATCTTTCGTAAGCCAGGAAACCTCGAAACATGGAGAGCACTGAGCTGTCGTCCGATTGGATCAAAACTTTCTGTGTTCGTTGTTCGTCAAAGGTCGCATTACTCAAGGCCTCGGTGATCAAACGTACCATGTCGAGACCCTTTTTCGATGCTAGGTAAGCAGCATTCTGGAGAGACATCATCAGTGTTGGGATTTTATCAGAATGATACGAAGTTCAAAGTTCGAAACATAAAATAAAAACAGGAACTCTTACTTGTATGTTGATCATAATTCCAGAAACTGCATTTGCCTTGGCAAAATCCAAGAACTCAACCAGTGTCATGAATTTACCCTTGTTTTTAGCTTCAGGGTTCCTCTGTAGACCTGCTGTTTGTTGAAAAGGGCTTTCCATTTGAGCTGAACAAAGATAAGTGATAGTCATGAAAGATTGTACAGACATAATTTGTAGGACTGTATGTAGCAAATGTGTTCGAGATCGAGAAGTTTACGCTTCAGGGTCCGGATCTCGCCCCATGTAAGATCGAATGAAAAAATCCCCATGTCCTTTTGAACTTCAGGAACCGAGGAAGACCGAGACATGAAGGCCGGCATCACACTCGCACTAGTATGCCCCGTTAGATCAGCTGAATCTAAACAGAAAGCTACTCCGTCTTTCGACATTTGGACCGAGCAATCTATTATGTCGGCTCCATCGTTCACCGCTTGCTCGTAAGCAAGATCGGTGCAACCAGGATACAGCCCACTAGCTCCATTGTGAGTTATAATCAATGCCTTCCCTGTAAAGGCACAAAATTGCAGGTAAACATTACATATTCGTGTGTGTGTGTCTGTGTACTATATGGTAAACTTAGCAGTCACCTTTCTTCGGTTTCGTGGTTTCATCACTTGCAAAGCATGCTGCAAAAAAGACCATTCGGAACAGTTACTCGAAACCTCGAATACACCGAGAATGTAGGCATATATTCATGGTATATTTATAGGAAATGTGATGATAATCAAAAAATGACACAGCAATGCAGGGGTTAATAAGCATACCAATGGCGGTCGATGCTGTAGGGGAGAAATCCGTAAGCAGTCCATCGACGGAAAACTCAGGATTATCAATGAACTGTAAGTACTCGGTTGTAGGATCATAGCTATAATTGTAACTTCCTGGCATATCATTGGCAAAACCAGAAGCATATACTTCTAGGCCAAGCTTGTGAGCATCAGCCACAAGTGTTGTAGGATGTCCCAAGTACTTGTTTGCATCAACAGGCCATATGTACTCTTTTGGGACGAGAATTCCGGATACAAACGGCTTGATGCCCAAAAGATCGTTTAAGATTGATCCGTACTTTTGCCCGGTTGTCGGTTCAACTACGTCGGGATCAAGGAACTCGAAAATGAGCTTAGTTCTGGCTTTTGTAACCTTTCCATTCATTCTCTTCAAGAAACCGAGCTCGGGAGACGAAACGAAATCTATGTCCATAAGTCCTTTAGCCTTTTCGAGATACATCAATACACTGAGATTATGTTCTGCGTAGAACACATCATACTGCATACAGAAACCATGTTAGTCGATGAGCTTATATTATGTCTACATAAACTAAAACCAATACGAAACCTGAACATTCAACCAAAACACTGTAGGTTCAACTCCGACAGCATCCTCGACAGTAGAAACCTGAAGTCGACCATCGAACACATTCGTCCGAGTCGATACACTCTGCACCACTGCCGGATAAAAAGAAGAAAAAAAACATGACAAAGCTGAAGCTTGATGTGAAAATCAGGGAATCGAAATGGGAGACTTACATGATACATGTTTTAATATTACATCAGAAGTGAAATCCAGAGCAAACCAACCACTGAGTTGGTTTCCATTAACGTTGTACGTGTTGGAATGGTTTGGGAAAACTTTTATTATGTTTGTGGAATTGTCGAGCCTGATATCAGATGAACATATGCCGATGCCGTCTTTTGTCAGCTGAAGATTGCAGGATAAAGCAGCCCTGGTTTTTGATTGAGTGACGGCGTCGTTTGCATATCTGCTAGATTCAGGGAAAAGCCCTGAGAATCCACCTCCAGCTATTACTAGTGGTGCTTCACCTAGAGCTCAAGCAGATTAACAAAGATTTAATTAAAAAAAATGTCATAGAATTATATTTTTTATATTAAATATTTGATTTTTTAAATCAAAATAGCTAAAATTTCATGATTCTTATTTATAGGGGACACATAACGTTCCATTTTCTTTTATTTTATTATGTTTCATTTTCTCACATTTTCTTTCTTTCAATTTTCCATGTAAAATAAGGGTGAAGTACATAAATGGTCCCTAGACTATAGGAATATGCTTTGTTGAGTCCCTTGATTATTAAAAGTTATAAAATAGTCCCCCGACTATAGGGCATTGTTTTGTTGAGTCCCTAGACTATTAAAAGTTATAAAATGTTCACCCAACTATTCATATGTTTCAAACTCGTCCTTTTTTGTTAAGAAATTAACTAAGTTGGATGTTAACCTGCTGACTGAGATATGATAAAATCTTATTTTATGAACAGTATAGTCATTTGAAATTTTGGGATCAGATTTTAACATATCTCAATCTGCATGTTAACATCCAACTCAAATGACGGTTAATTTTTTTAATGGAAAATAATGAGTTTGAAACATATGAATAGTCAGAAATTATTTTGTAATTTTTAATAGTTAAGTGACGCAATAAGGTAGCACTCTATAGTCAAATGACCATTTGTTTACTTTACCCAAAAAAGTAAATGGAAACAACCAAAAGTTACTCTTTACCGCCTTCAGAGTTTTTTCGATCTTCGTTTAAGTTACCTATATAAGATCAGCTTTTTTTTCTCTCTCTCTTGAAAATTTAAGTTTGGATTTAAGACTAAAAATATTTAATTCGAACCAAAAATAATATAATATAATTAACTTTAATACATTCAGAGATAATTTTTATAATATCTCTCTTTATATATATATATATTTTAATTAAGTCTTTATTTTACCTAATAAAAATTAGAATTATATATATATTTATATTAGATTGAGACGATAATAGGCTTTTATTTTAAAATTTGAGTCGGATTTTGGATTGGTGGAACTTCTCTAAATCCGAATCAAATCAGGTGACAAGTGAAAGCATATTATACTTGAATCAAGTTCTGGTGGATCTAAAACCTAATCGAAGCCGACCAATGACAACTCTTATTTAACATGTTTATAAAATGAGATATTAAACACTCTGACAGATGTATAAATAAAGATAATTCTAACACTTAATTATCAATTAAGCCTTGAAAGAATTGAACAAAACCCTATAGAAATGAGAAAGTGAAGTTTATGTTACCACTTAAGGTTAGCCATTGCTTGATCGGAGGCTGAGGCTCATAGTGTTGAAGTTGTTCTCCGGCTAAAGATGAACGGACCAATTGGGCAAACAAAACCAAAAACCTTCTCATTTTGCCTCCTGCAATTTCCATCATCACTCCATCAATAGCCGATATCAAACTTTTGCATCCAAGGATTTGATTCCGAACAAGTGTTTTGAATAAAACTTGAATCAAGAAAAACATATACAACATGGATCGAAAAGGACAGATGAAACAGTCACCCTTAAAAATTTTAAATTAATATATTTTTTATATTTTTTATATTTTCAATTGATAATTTATTTTCAATCCTAAAATTTTATAAATTCACATTTGCTAAAAATTTAAAAATTTATTCCTTAAATTAAAATCATACGTCTATCCTCATAAAAACCGTAACTATCATAAAAAAATATATAGAAATAAATCCATAAATCTAAACATTCAAAACAACATAAACATGATGTGAAAAGAAGAGTTACCTGTCCCGTAGAGTTCCAGGAAAAACCTGCGTTAAGATAATGCAATAATATTTAAGTGGCTTAATGTTGTGTTTCTTTACCGTTTTTTAAAACTCCCACTGCCTTCTTTGACCAAGAAAAAGAAAAGGAAAAAAACTGATATTTTATATTTAGTGTAAATTATATAAATGGTCCATGACTATAAGGTATTACTTTGTTGAGCCTCTCAACTATTAAAAGTTACAAAATGATCATGTAGTTTTAGGGTGTTGTTTTGTTGAATCTCCCGACTATTAAAAGTTACAAAAGATCATCTGACTATTCATATGTTCAAAACTCATAATTTTTCATTAAAAATTGAGAGTTATCTAAGCTGGACATTACTCCATTGACTGGGATATAATAAAATTTGATCTCGTAACTATTTGAGATGTATTTTGTGGTCAGTCAGCAGATCAATGCCTAGCTCAGACAACCATCAATTTTCTAACGAAAAAGGACGAATCTGGATCATATTAATAGTCGGATGACTATTTTATAACTTTTAATAGTAGATGGACTCAACAAAATAACACCATGTAATTGGAGGACAATGTTGTAATTTTTAATACTCGAGGGATTTAATAAAATAACATTCTATAGTCAATGGATCATTTGTATATTTTGCCCTTATATTTAATGTTTTGAAAAATCATTTTAATTTTTAAATTCTTTTTAAAAAGTAAAAATATGATGTCTCTAAATCGACAATATCCTAATTTAATTATAACTATAAAAATTTATCTTAGAATTTAATAATTAATTATATATTTTAAAAAGTATCACATCAAATTAGTTATAAAATTTTACTATTAAATACTATAAAATTCAATTTTTATATAAATCATGGGCGCCTATAGACAAAAACTAAAGTGGAGAAATATTACATTTTTTTAATATTTAACTTATTTATATTTTAGGGTAAAGTATAGTAATAGTCACTGAACATTTCCGAAACTTGCATTTAGGTCCCTCAACTTTTAAAACTTGCAATACAGTCCCCAAACATTTAATCCGTTTGCAATATGGTCCCTGCACCTATGAATATTAGGGTAAATTATATAAATGGTCACTAAACTTTTCGGGCACTTAAATTTAGGTCCCCCAACTTTTAAAAATTACAAAACAATTCTCAATTTCATTCTAAACCACAAATTCCAAAGTAATTCAATTTTATTCTAAACCCTAAATTCCAAAATAATTCAATTACATTCTAAAACCCAAATTCTAAAATACTTCAATTTCTGTCTTTTTATAAACGATGCCAATGTCACTAAATTATTAATTAATTTACTTTTTATATTTAAAAACATATGATAATTTTTTATTATTAATTTAAAGACATGAAAATTTTTCAATAGTAAGAATATATGATAATAATTCATTTATTTAAAAATAATATATTTCTGATTATTTGTGTATGTTTTTATATCTAATCATACGTGTTAATATATTTTATATCTTTCACATAAATATTAAGACTACATAAATAACAGAGTCAAAATTTTATATACAAGTTATGTTAATTATAGTAATGATGTATAAATATTTTTTATTTTTATACTATTTCTATTATAATTAAAATATAAATATTACCATGATAATTAAATATTTATTTACTTATTACATCGAATATTTTTGTAGAAAAATTATTTAATAAAATCATAAAAAAACACAATAAAAAATAAACACTGAAGTTGACTACTTCAAAAATAAAATAAAAAAAATCAATAATTTAATATAATATACCCTAAGTTGATGATAACAATCAACTCAAAAGAGATGGGGTTTGTGCCATGTTTTCGTAACATACGTAAACTTTCTATTTCATGGTCACGTATTCTTTTAGTTCTAGCATGATCTATTTTTTAATTTTCTAATATAGGTAAAAAAATGTTATTTTCTTTAAAAGTTTTAAATTCAAACAATTGTGTTTGTAGGGTATATCTATATTGTTAATAAATTAATTTTTTTGAATAAATACTATCTTATAATCACATCAAACTATTAAAAAATTAAATTATAATTGAAATAAATAAAAATTATAAGGATGTCAATTGGGGATTTTGATTCTTAATTTTTTTCATCGAGAGATTGTATTTTTTTTTATTCAATTTCTTCCATAATCATTTTTTATATTTAAATTATTGAAGATCACTAAATTTACATTTACGAGGAGGGAGTGTATTTTTTTTCTTCACAAAAGTAAAAAAATAAAAACGCTATCACGTTCTTAAAGATAATCTATTATATTTCTCCTTAAATTGAAGTATTTTAGAATTTAGGGTTTAGAATGTAATTGAATTATTTTGGAATTTAGGGTTTAGAATGAAATTGAATTACTTTGAAATTTGGGATTTATAATGAAATTGAGGAATGTTTTGTAAGTTTTAAAAGTTGGGGGACCTAAATTCAAGTGCCTAAAAAGTTCAATGACCATTTATATGATTTACCCTAATTTTCATAGGCGCGGGACCATATTACAAACGGATTAAATGTTTGAGGACTGTATTGCAAGTTTTAAAAGTTTGGGGACCTAAATGCAAGCTTCAGAAATGTTCAGTGACCATTACTATACTTTACCCTATATTTTATTAAGTATTGCTAATATTAATTGTGTTTTTTTTTTTATTTCCTTTTAGCATTTTTTTCAGAGAAACATACGAAATTGCTTCTGTTAACCTTTTTTTGTGTTAGGGAAAATTGAAAGAGAAGTGGAAAGATGATCACTTCGTTATTGGTGTTGAAGTGCCATCCGGAAGGATCCGATCCCATAATACTAGCCAATGCATCCGACGTGAGCCATTTCGGTTTCTTCCAAAGGCCAAGCGTCAGGGAGTTCATCGTCTTCGTCTCTCGAACCGTCGGCAAACGAACGCCTCCTGATCAGCGCCAGTCCGTCCAGCACGAAGGTCCCTCCGCTGCGAACCTTTCTTAATTCTTCTGTCATTATAGGATAGTATGTGTTTCCTTGATTATTAATATCTTTGGCAATTAGATCAATGATACCGTCTCTGGATCTTCTTTTGTTTCTTTTATTACATTGCCGATTTTATTAGTAAAATCAATATCATGATTCTGTCGCCTTTTTTTCACGATCAATAAAGATTTCTCACCTTCTATTTATAACTGATTTTTATTTTATTTGTCGATTTCGTTTCTATTTTTGGTTTGAGAAGATCACTTGGTTGATTATGACCAGACTATGAGAAATTACGATGATTTATTTATTTATGTTTGGTGATTTTAATGCAGAGTACATGGTACATTCTTACAACAGAAATGGACTTTGTGCAATTGGATTTATGGATAGTCACTATCCTGTTCGAAGTGCTTTTTCGCTTCTCAACCAGGTAATATAACTAAGTGTAACTCTAATCTTCTCTGTGTCATGATTTGCCTTACAATTCAATATCATCAAATCTTATTGGCTGCAATATTGGTGTTCTGCATTGGATGTATCGAGTATTCTTACTTCTATTATACAGGTTCTCATAGCCTGAGACTGATTATAGCAGGAAATGAATGGAAATGCAAAATAGAGAAGAGAGGAATTAGAGAAATGATGATAATCATTGATAATTACGATCGAGTTTACACGAATATATCTTTATAGACCCAGTTCTTGTAGAATGAGCTACAATGTATCGGAGCAACAGTTATTTAAAGTTGTCCTAAATATTGGCATAATATCACCTTATTCGGTAACCACTGCTTTCAGCCCTCTTGTTGGTACTTGGCCCACCAGCCCTCTGCTTTCAGCTTCCATGTTCCTAGCTTTAAGTTTCTCTTCTTCATTTCCTGTCTCAGAGCTCATCTCATTCATGTTTCTCAGCTTACTTGCAAGCTTAGCTATAGCTAAGTCTCATTTTCCGGTTCAATCCCTTCTCTTTGCATCTTATAGCAATAACTAGATGGCTACGACGATAGGTGGAGGTGGATGTGTCTGTGGTTGTGTCTGTGTATAATACATTAAGAGTTTAAGATGACGTCTAGAGTCTGCGGGTCAAATTCATCATGTTTAGTATATGGTGTTCTGAAATATGTTTGTGAGGTTGGATCTTCTGTGGGATCTTTGGAAAATTTCAAAAGGTAATGTTTGGCAGGTGCTGGATGAATATCAGAAAAGTTTTGGGGAATCATGGAGAACTGCAGAAGCTGACCGCACTCAAACCTGGCCCTATTTGGATGAGGCCTTGACCAAGTTTCAGGTATCCGTTTTCTTTCTCGTTCATTAATTTCTTGTGTTTTAATATGGGATGTATAATTATACCTTTCAAATTAATCTCACATTTTCTTTTGTAAGCATTTATTGGAGCTTTATAAGAGTTATATTTCAAAAACCTTACATAACTCTTCTATCGTTTTCAGGACCCTGCAGAGGCTGATAATTATTGAAAATTCAGAGGGAGTTGGATGAGACTAAAATCATCCTTGTAAGTATTTCTATTTTTGTGGGAAAATGATGATTTTGTGTTTCCTTTTAGCTTTGAGCTATCGTACTATTCTATCCTCAGCTCCAATGATCTATATGTTATCCATATTTGGATCTTTTATTTTTTTGTAATGTTGTGATGAATTATATCATTTCAGAAGAAAGATTTGTTCATAAATAGTCGGTATGCTCGTGTTAGCTTGGATTTGACTGATTAGTTCTTCTTCTCTCAATTATTGAAATGATATCCAGGGATGTACAGAGGAAGGAGCAGGTGAGGGCAGTCGTATCCTTAAATATTTCACGTTCCTATATATTTTAGATATTTTCTTTGTATTTTTAATTGAAAATTTTTTTTGGTTCTCCCTAAAATTTTAGAAGTTCGTTGTGCATTAGAATTTTATAAATTTGTCCTCTTAACATAAAATCTTACGTCCGTCCATGATTATATATGATGCAGCATAAGACCATTGATAGCGTGCTTGCACGAGGTGAGAAGCTGGACAGTTTAGTTGAGAAGAGTTCAGATCTGAGTGCGGCATCTCAGGTAAATGTGCAAGACAATATAATCCTATATTGCATTATCCACTTTGCATATTATTGTTCTTATGGAGTTACAATTATATCGAAATAGAGTATATGATCAGAATTAATGGTTACAAAGTACAAGTGTGGACTAATAATCGAAATATATCCGGAGTCAGTACACGGGTTGGGAGTCAAACCTTATTGTTGTTTTGGAACAACCATATGTTGTTGCTAATTTCAATCTTCTTTTGGTTATTGAAACAGATGTTCTACAGTCGGGCTAAGAGTAGCAATCAATGTTGTAGTATACTGTAAAACTTGTAGAGAAGCACAGCTATGCTGTGATGGCATTCAAGTGTTCTAGCAATTGGAGTTGATGGTAACTGTTATTTATTTGTATGGTTAAACGATTTGGTCTGTTTAGTATAGGGATTGGTTCAATCTAATCCTCAAGATTGATTCGAATTAATTCAATTATTATTAAATGGATTGATTTAATTCATGTACTAGTAAAAAATATCAAATAAAATATATTTATCGGTTGATTTAGTTGAAATGATGCTCTAAGTTCCTTGAATAATGTTTAGGATATGAATCTTAAGATTATGAATGAAGTGAATTAAATTAGGAGGATTGTTCTTAATTTCTTATAATGAATCTTTACAGTAATAACTAATATCTATGATTATATTAAAAAATTAAGATTTATATTTTATTAATTTAACATTCAAGGTTTAAAATGTTATTAATTTTTTCATTTACATTATTAACTCTAAACTAAGTTTTTCATTTGTACGGATGATTTTAAAATATGAATATTTTAAAGTAATATTTGACATTTTAATAAAATTGTTATACATATGAATGAGCATTTAATATATAAACTCGACGAATTTTAATCTGATTTTATAGAATTGGTTTTTTTAAATCAAATTTAAATTGGGTTGAATTTTTTAAAGGTTGATGTTAGATTTATAGTGAAAAATACTTGTATTACTCTCCACATATTTAATGGATTTAAGAATGGTGTGAATTTATCTCAAAAATCAAATAATATTTTAAGAAAAATAAAACTTTCTCAAACTCAAATCAAATAGTAAATAAAATAATAAAATATTTAATCGAATTTAAATGGGTCAAAAACTCAACCTAATCCATACTCATCTCAACTTATCTATGTACTTCTACATCCCAACATTTAACGGAGGAATTAAATTAATGAAGTCGTTATTAAAAGAGTAGTAATAATGTGGTTATATTAGGTATGTGGAATTTTGTTTTATTTTTTACTTTGTAGTATATCAACTTCCGGGATAATTACTAATTAGAGACGTTTCCTTTAAAACTTTAAACTTGTACTTGCCATAAAATCCAAAGATTGTTTTAAGGAAAGTAGAAGCTCTCTGTGGTCCAAATTGAATTGCCGGTGTTGTAGATAAGGTTGCAGTCACATCAGATAGAGGATAACAAGATTCATGAACTAAACAATGGTCCACTTCACCTGCCATCCTCCGCCATTGGAAACAAATTAATTGAACTGAACAAGCTTCTTTATCCTTACATCATCATCATCAAACAGATAAAAGATCAGGTTTCAGGGATGAACACCACAAATGCTTACATTCATGCAACAACTTTACAAAACAGACAAAACACATATATAGACTTTAAGACTACCAAGACTGAATTCTGATGCAATATTTATTTGTATATCTGACATGCACACACCATGATTCCATTCATTCAGATTCCTACTTTCCAAGCAGGGATTTGATCCACCAGACGCCTTTGTCTTTAGGGACATCCTCCGTTTCCGGCGGTGAATCGGTCTGTGGGGTCTTATGCAGTTTGCTCACTTCATACCCCAAATCCTTAGCCTTCTGCACCAGAAAGTTGTAGGTTTCATCATCCATGTGTGTCTTCCTGCATAATATCTGCAAAAAAAATCAGGGTTTAAATGACCAACCAATTATACAAACCACAAAGAGAGATTCAGGGTTTGAAAGGGTTTCAAAAACACACCCAAAGGAACTTCTTGGTAGGTCCTCCACCAACAAGAACATACTGATAATCATCATCAATGTACAAAACCCAGTAATCACCAGTGACAGGGATGATGGGCAAGAAAGGAGGGACATAGAACTTCACTTTCAGCTTGGCTTCATCACTCTTGGGATCAGCCTTGTAAGCAGAGCCTTCAATGGACACTTTCTTGCCATCTTTATATGACTCGTTGAGCACATGTACAGTGCCATCTTCGTTCAGTGTGTAGGTAGCCCTTGTGTTCTCCCCATTCTTGGGCTGGAAAAAGTTTGGGAAGGAAGCTATTTCGTACCACCTTCCCATGAATTTTGGGATGTCTAAATTCTTTACTACTTCCATTGTTCTTGGTTTTAGATTCTGGGAGGAGTGTTTTTTGCTAGTGTTTTAATATGGGGGGGAGTGTCTGGAAATGTGAAATGTTGAGTGAATCGTGGAGGGCTGAGGGCCATACATGTTTAGGGTATGAACGGCCTGCAACTACCACATACAGATGGAGGATTCTGGGCCGTTGTGGTGATGGGGTCATGTGAAGTTTTGAGATGGTGAGATTGCATTGCAAGTAAACAAACTTAACAAGTAAGAGGGGACAATAATGGAGTGACACAGAAATGGTAACAAGTACAACAGTCCAATTAGGCAATTTCAGCTTTCACTTCAACTAAGCGAAGGGACAAATGGTTTCTCTTCACCAAAGCAAAGAGACAAATGCTTTACTTGTATGGTTAGGGCCTGATTAAGCTTACTAAGAAACCCAAAGTTAGTATCAGAATTAGGATGGTCTTGGGTGGGATTAGATTGGGTTATTGGCCCATATAAACTCTATTAGAAAAAGTAAAATCTTCCGCTTACACTTGACCCGGATTTAGGAATGTTCCACCCAAAACTCAATTCAATTTTGTAGGTGAAAATCTGCATTTGACTCAACACAAATATATATATATATATATATATATATATATATATATATATATATATTATTCATTTTTATTACGTAAATAAGGGTTTAATTGAAAAAATGTAGAAAGATATATTATTGTAAAACTTGAAACCTAAGTTTCAAAAAAAAAAAATTGATCTAATCGAGTCATATCCAAACTCGTTAAGGTCGAGTCAATTACTCTTCCCTAACTGGAATACCCCTTTAAACATGAATTGGATCCAAGTTTAGACAAGAAAATTTGGGTCAACATTAGCATGTGAACTTGCAGTGGATGCCGTGAGTGAAAATCTATGTTGTTCCTACACCAAAAAAGTTTAATGCGGAAGGAAATAATATTACTGTAAAATAAAATGTTAATATTGGCTATCAGAACCAGCCAGTTCATTGCCAGCATTTGTCCCCCAGGCTGCCTATCAGTTTTTGATCGGACTCGATTCGACTTGATCGAATGTTCATCCCTATTCGTACCAATCAACAAAGACCTTGGGGTACTTGAATTCACAGCAAGCCATGGCTGATTTCACAGTTCTCATAAGGAGCTTTAAGCACATGTTGATCTCGTATTGTTCGTTTCCGCTTACAAATTCCTAACAATATCAAGTGATCAAGGGGAGTTGCGCATAGCTCGAGGAGAACTCGAGGCATTTAGGCATTTCTTCCTGTTCATTCAAAGTTTTTTCTATAACTAAACCAACATTGGCATTTAGGATGTGAGCTTGAACTGCTATGAAGTGATCAAGGGGAGCTGGGCAGAACTCAAGGCGATGTTGACTCAGAAACAAGCCTCGGCCGAACTAAGCAAAGCTTTTCGAACTGGCGAGTGAGTCATGAAGGAACAGAATCGTGTTCTGCATTGCACTTCTTTTACTTCCTGATAACGAATTATATTTCCTTCTTCGAAGTTCAGGAGCCTTCGTTCAACGGCTTCTGCCCAGGATTGGCTATGGACTGTTTTTGTTTATACGGCCATGGTCAATTATCCGGCCGAAGCGAATTTCATGAAGCCATTGCCTGCTTATCCTGTGGACAGCAGGTGAGGCTTGTAAATAAGTTTTAACAGGTTCAAATATCTCTCTGTTCATTTCTTCGATTCGGCATTATACGTTTATTGTACGTGTAGATGTGCGAGATAATCGATGAATTTTCATCAGGGGCAACGAAGCTTCGTCGTGGTTTTGCGGCTGCGAGCTTATAGTACGACCATTCTCGTTCGGAAATTTGCAGTTGATAGTCATGGCCTTCATGGTTGGGACTGGCAGATACATACTTTTTTTCGATATATGATACAAAAATATTCCGATTACCTATGAATGGGACTGGACCTATTGTAGAATAGTCCATAGAGCTTGCTGAATCTAATTCTTCGAGTCCACTAAGCTATCCGCGTCTACTCGGTGAATGTTGATCGGAATAATGTATAAGTTTAGCTGCCTGATTACCATATTCAAAACATCGTGTACAGAGATGGTTATGCCGATTACTTGCTCTAAGGAGAGCATGTTCCCTCCATCTGGATTCAATTACAAAGAGTTTGCCAAATGAAATACAGAGTTTCCCCTCGGCGATGCGAGTTCTTTTCGGTTGTTTTCTCCTCCTACATTCCGACGTACCATTTTCGAAAAGATTTGAACGTATTGATGTCCCTTGTCGATGCAGAGAATTTGGAATGTGTTGAAGAGATTCCGTAGTATTATTCTACATCGTGCTGAAGAACATATCTTCCAGGATCATTGCACTTGTCACAGAGAAGGGTATTGTCGAAACGATTTTTTTCTATAAAGGTGAGATTTTGAAAACCACATTAATTTTTAATTGTCTCTTTTTAATTTAAAAACAGATGTGATTTAAAAGACCTCTCGTTTCGAAAAATTTTGAATTTCCTTTACGATCGAAAAATACGGTTCGAAGAGTCGCCACCAATCTTTGATTAGGGTGTGATTGGGCACCCAAAAATGCTTGCTATTTTAAATAAAAATTAATTTTAATTAAAACAACAAATTAAGGTCTGCGTTACCAAAATCCGAGTTCGGGAGTCGATTACGTGTGGGGAAGGATTAGCACCCCACAACGCCCTAAATCGGTACCTAGTCGATTAATTAACGTCCTTGCATTGAACTTTACAAATTTGAACTTAATTTGATTTTTGATCCCATAAAACAAAGATGTAAATTTAAAAACATTCAAAAGCACTGAAAATAATTAAATTAAAATTACCAAATCGTTTTAGAAAGATAAAGAATGTTCGATTATTTACAAATATTGAGATCAGATCTTAAAAGTTATAACAACCTTTTCTCGATAAATTTAAATAAACGAACATTTTTTTTTTCGTTCCCAAATTTTAGAGTGATGGATCAATTTTTAGGCGTCGCTAATGGGATACACTTTTATTTTAAAATCATTAAAAGTGGACCTCAAATCAGTTATGACTGCCCACTTAAAACAATTTTAAATTAAAAGGGTATTACCCTTAGTCCGATTATGTAATAAGTCGAGTTATGCACGTGAGGCTATCATGCAAATTATGCAAAAAGTGGATGTCATGCCAAAATTAATTAAACTAAATTAAAAATATCATACAACGTGACATACAAAAAATTATGTACGTATATTTTAATTTAAAATCATAAATTACGCATATTAACACCTAATGTACAAAATGTGACTCAAATATAAAAACAAAATCATAACATGCTAAACTATAAATTTTAAAAAGTGTATATATACATAAATGTAATGACTAAATTTAAATGAATATAAAATTTGACATACAAATTAAAACTAAAGCATGGATTAAAATGAAACATGCGCATAAATGAGGAATCTACACCTAAATAATCTAACAAAATTATAACTAAAACTAAAAACTAGAAAATAACTAAATCAAGACAAACACAAAGGATTAAATTTAAAAGCAGTCCTAAAGGTGACTAAAGTGTAAAATAGTCTTAAAATTTAGGGACTGGAAACCTGATTTTACCAAGAAAATTTGATGGCCAGAAAGTAATTAACCCAAATTCTTTAATATATAACCTAAACTAAAAAAAAAACCTAGACTAAACTTTAATTTACTCTTTGGCCGCACAACCCTTCTCCCCTCATATCAACAGTTATGAATATCAATGGTTGCCTCCCAAATCTCCTACTGCTTCACTCATTTGATAATGGTCATCGATCAGACCAAACAAAAAAAAAACAAATCCCCCTATAATTTCTATTCTCCCTCGACTCCCATCTCTCGCCTTGCTAGCCTTCAATCTTGGGTCTTAATCACGTTAAAATTTTAAAAACATATTCAAAACAGGTCTCAACCTCTCGGCCTCACTCTCTTTGGCGTTTCCCTTCTCCGGCGATGCGACCCCAACGACTAAGGTAACACTACCACTTTCCCTTTACACTATTTTACTTATTTTTCTTATGACCTCACCTCTAACTTACGAATGGTGGCTACTTAAGGAAACCTAACTCTCACTAACACCCCAACTAAACACTATATGATAACTACAATGCAAATAGAGAGCAAAGATCGAGCAAGGTAATGTAACTAACTACTTTCCTGTATTTTCACTTGTTTGAAAATAAAAACCTTCATAGAAATTACTGAAAATTGAAATAAAGATAGAAGATACCAAAAGAATTTTTCCTCGCTTGCTATTGCTTTCCTGAAAAACTAGGATCCAGTCTCTGTTACACTGCTTGATCTTTTAATATGGAAATGTTATTTATACTGTTTCTTTCCTCTTTGTTCTGGTGTGTACATAAAAACAAAATAATATGGTCTCTGTTCTCTCCCCCCCCTTTTCTTTTTTCTGTTCTCTCCAGTAGTTGATATCCCTTCTGTCCAAATCATCCCCCAATTTCCAGTAGTTAATCCCCTAAAAAACTGACCCCTCTCCTTATCTAGTAGTTAATTACAAATTAAAATCCAACTTACAGTTTAGTATCCCACCCACGATCACACACTGCTTCTCTCCTTCCCGCTGGATAATCGTTTTTGTTTTGCAGGAATTCACGTGGACTGGATGCTAGTATAACATGTTGTTTGGATTGATTTGGGCTGCTCTGCTTTGGGTCTGCTCCGACCTAGCCCCGGACAAAACCGAGCATCTACAGCTGCCCCTCTTTGCTCATTGTCGTGCAACGAAAATAGAGCAAAGAAGAATAGATGATCAAGTTTGTCCGACCATTAGAACTTCAAAAGATTAATCTGCTTCTCTGCTACTTCAGGATAAGCGAGACTTGAAAAATCTTCAAATAACGGGTCTGCTCCCTATTCTTTTAAGGAGTATAAGACTCGAACAATCTTTGGCAAATGTGTCTGCTCCCTATTCATTCAGGGAGTATAAGACTCAAACAATCTTCAACAAACGTGTCTGCTCCCTATTCGTTCAGGGAGTATAAGACTCGAATAATCTTCAATAAACGGGTTCGCTCCCTATTCCTTCAGAGAGTATAAGACTCGATCTTCAACAAACGTGTCAGCTCCCTATTCCTTCAGAGAGTATAGGACTCGAACAATCTTCAACAAACGGGTTCGCTCCCTATTAGTTCAGGGAGTATAGAACTCGAACAATCTTCATAAAACGTGTCTGCTCTCTATTCCTTCAGAGAGTATAGAACTCGATCTTCAACAAACGTGTTCTCTCCCTATTCCTTCAGAGAGTATAGGACTCGATCTTCATAAAATAAGTTTGCTTCACTACTCTTCCGTGAAGGCTTAAGATTGACTTGTTTCACTACTCTTCCGTGAAGGCTTAAGATTGACTTGCTTCACTACTCTTCCGTGAAGGCTTAAGTTTGACTTGTTTCGAAGGCCAAACCTGAAAATCAAACATTACCAAACATTAATGTATGTTTGAAAAATATTATACTCAAAAATTTAGAATTTGAGAAAATTTCTGAAAATCCATCTTCATCGTGAAAGCTTGTCTGGAAGCCATTAGATATGTGAATCTACTTTGGCTCAGTTGTCGTCTAAACATCATTCTTTTCAAGATTTCAAAACTAGTTATCCTCATATTGATGCTTTCACATCTTCAATCTTCAACTATCCCTGGGACCTGTAGATATTTAAGTCATCATGCAATTATGAATGCCATGATCCTATTCATGTCTAAATGGATACAATTATGCAATTTAATGCGTTTTCTTCTTCGAATGAACACCATCTCCTTTGATCTCGATGAAACTCGGTTTTTTCTTGGGTACAGAACGTTTGACCAGTTCACCTCAGCTAATAATCTCAATTCCATATCTCTCGACTTAACAGGACCTTAACTCCTTTCTTCCTTGAAACCCGCAGTACCCATGAGCAACTTCTTGATAAATGACAATCTCATTGGGTCATCTTTTAATGGCTGAGATTTTCTATGAACTCCAAGGTTTTAGTTTCCCGTAGCCACACAAGCTTACATGTTTAAACCATTGTCAACTTCAGAATACCTGTATTTTCCAAAACCTTTTGCACAATAATACAAAATGATCTCATGTACTTCAAGTTAAACTATATGTTTTAACTTTTCAAAATAAGATGCTTACAAAAGGGAAACGAACAAGAAAAGACATCTCTTTATTTATATAAATGCAGAGAACTTTTAGGTAACTACATGGCAAACTTTTAACTAGAAGCAGTAAAAGAACAAAAGAGTATGCGTCTTCAAATATCAATAATGCAAATGCTTTTGAACTGGCACGCCGTTAGAAGGTCTTGAGTGTAGCTTCTGTCAAAAGGATCTCCAAAGTTGTGATGATACTTAAGAGTGTGAAAGCTACTTATAAACTCTCAAATCTCCTTCATTGGATGCCCTAAACTAATATTGAATCTCATGTGCATTCAATTTCTCTCCTGGTTATTTCAATCGAGACTCATTAATCTTTAGTCTCATCCCTGATCACCAACTATCATTATTACTATCCATATCAGGAGCTCTTTCCACTTTCAAAATCAATTCAGAACCTCCACTATGCACGAATTCTGAATTTAAACAAAACTCAAGTCGCTCTTTGTGAGTTTTCAACTTGAGACCTCCTTTGGTTTCAAGGCGCCTTTTCTGGGTTTTCATCTTGAACCCCCTTTTATTTTTCTCCTTTTTTTTCATTTTTTTTTTATTTTTTTCTCTTTCTTCTTTTTATATTTCTTCTTTTCTTTTTTCATTTTTTTTCATTTTTTTCATTTTCTTTTCATTTTCTC